ATAAACTATGAACTACAGTCTAGAAGTAGACTGAACGGGTTGGAATTTATTATTGATTTTTTTTATTGGTTATATGAAATAACACGTGACATGATTCTGTTCATAAGAATTTGATTTATGCTTTACCGATATCTTATTTGTATATTAAAAAAAAAATCCAAATTTTAAATTGTTTAAAAAAATTAAACGCAACATTTATTCATTTTATTTTATTTCAAAATGGAAGATTGCCAACCAAATTAAAATACTGTATCCCTGCAATGATTGCAAATTGTGAGTTTTATTTTTTTGGATAACTTGGCAATCAAGAGTTATAGGAAGAATTAAAAAATAAATTGTACGGGTAGAAAGATTTATTTCAATTTTTATATGTCTTCCTCGTCAAGATTTAATCATTTGAAACATCTATTCATTCGTAACCAAATTAGTACTTTAAAAAATAATAATTGCTAAAACTTATTCATGTTGTGTTTGTTTATCACAAAGATAATTATTATACCTGACCAATGATTGTCAACCAAGAGTTAGCATGTTTATTGTTCAATCAATTCTTAAGTTTCTGCTCTTAGATTCTTAATTTTGTCCTGCATTACTGCATATATTTATTTCGTTACTTTCTAGGAATGACAATGTGTTGTAGCTGATGACTGTCTTATTTTATTTTCAACTTTAATTTTCATTTTAATTATGATTTAGTTTTTGAAAAAAGTGTGAGAGATTTATTGTATGTCTCAAATAGATTATTCGGGAGAACTTTTTTGAATGTCAGAAAATTTTGTATATTTGTCCAAAAAAAGAGAAAATTTCGTATTACAATACGCTATTAATGGTTTGGTGTGTCATTTATTGATAGTGTATTAAAATTAAATTCAGATGAATTATTCATATAATTTTTGTTTGGGTACATCAGATAAAATTATTTTATATCGTCATTTTAATTTTATGTTTATATCTTACTAAATAAATCTAATTATATTAACAATTATATAAAATGTCATGTTCATTAAATAATTTGATATTGTATCGTTAGATGCAAGTGCAATTTTTTTATGCTAATAATAAATCAAAATTAAATTTTTATATAAGGTTTATTACGTTACAAAATATCTGTGTGAATTAAGAAATAAGCTTTGCAATTTTGAGCTCTTCGTATTTTTATTGTATACATCAAAATCACTTATTGCATCAAAGTCTAAATTTAACATTATACATAATAACAAATGGTGGTAGTTCAGTTGGCGCATGGAAGCTAAGCAGGTGGGGGTGAGAGCATGTGTTCGAATCTCCCCAGTACTACCTTTGAGAGGGGGTGTAAGCCTTAATCTTGGACCTGCCCCGAATCGGATTAGTTGCGAAGCAATGAACCGATTGGAATATTTAAAAAAAAAAACATTAGACATATATATATATATATATATATATATATATATATATATATATATATATAGTTAGATAGATGGATAGAAGTAGGATCATTTGACACATCATCTAAGAGCCGTTAGATTAAAAAAGATCAATGGTGTCACATGCTTACAAATCAGAATCGTCGTCGATCTTTTTTGATCTAATGACTCTTAGATGAGGTGTCAAATTTTAAATTTGATACTGGTGTTAAAAGATTCTACCTCATATATATATATATGTGTGTGTGTGTGATATAGGATACTTTAACACTAGTGTCAAACTTTAAAATTTGAAACCAAATCCTAACTATTGATTTTTGTCAATCAATGATTATTATTTATTGATAATCAAACTTATTAATTAACTATTAATTCTCAATAAATGATAACCGTTGATTGACGAAAATCAACGGTTAGAATTTTGTGTTAAATTTTAAAGTTTGACATCGGTGTTAAAGTTTGAAATTTGAAAGCAAATCCTAACTATTAATTTATATCAATTAACATTTATCATTTATTGAAAATTAATATCCGTATGAATTAAGAAATAAGCTTTTCAATTTTGAGCTCTTCGGGCTTTTATTGTCTACATCAAAATCACTTATTGCATCAAGATCAAAATTTAGCACTAGACATAATACGTATATATTTTGACAATTTAGGGCAAGATAGATAATCAGTGTCAATGCTTGTAAACTAGACTTCTTAGATTAAGGTAATATCAATGACTTTAAGCTAAGATGCTAATTTTTTTTTTTACACCGGTTCAAAGCATCCTGTCATATATATATATATATATATATGGGTCAAGATTATTTTATAACAGTGTAAGTTACACTCTCAATCTTGTTCGTTGATCTCATTAATGTATAAGGGATCTAATTTTTTAGTAACGTGAGCTATTGGATACAAGTGGATCATATATATATATGGCTTATCATTTCTCAAGCTGCTTGAGATAACCTTATCTCCGACTACTAAATCATAACCATACAAAGATGGATCAATGGTGATAAAGGAAGAGAGAGAAAAAGAAAATCATAACCATTCAAAGGTGAATCAATTAATATAAGGAAATAAATAAACAAAACGACGTAGTTTTGTGGTGGCCGAAAATAAATATATCTCAAGCTGTTTGAGAATATATATATATATATATATATATGGACTTATCGTTTCTCAAGCTACTTGAGATAATTTTATCTCTAGCTAAAGGTGGATCAAGTAGCTTGAGAGAAAAGGAATAGAGAGAAAAAATGAATCATAATCATTTAAAGGTGAATCAGTTAATAGAAGGAAATAAATAAATAAAACGACTTAATTTTGAAGTAGCCGGAGATAAACTTATCTCAAGCTGTTTTAGAAATGTTGTATATATAAATTATTTAAATTGGTTATTTAAAATTAACTCGTTTTTGGCCAGAATTATTTCTCATAAAATATAATCTTGTTCAAAACAAGAAAAATAATAACTGAATAAGTGAAAAGTAATAAATAAAATAATTAAAAGGGTTAAATTTCAAAATTATATTCAAACTTTCAATATTGTGTCATTAAGACAAAATACGTTATCAAAGTATACTAAAAGTGAATCTTAACCAAACTCCTTTAGCACAGGTGATAAGAAGTATGAGTCCCTTAACCAAATATCTGGAGTTCGAGTCTTGAGAATGAAAAAAAAAGATTTGGGAAAGCCGCTCCTGAAAAGGTCCGATAGTGCTCGATTGGAGATTAGTCTTCGGTTACGGCCGAAAGATACCCTTCAAATTACTGCTGAGAAAAAAAGTGAATCTTAATGAACATTATCTGTTGAATCCAAAATCATGCCATCGACATAAATTATAAGAGAATATTATGTCATTAAGTCAAAAAGATCCTGTTTGACATAAATTTTTTTTAAGTTAAAAGTTATTTTTAAGTTAAAATTATAAAAAAAAAAATTAAAAATAAAACTAAAAATTATTTGACGATTATATAAAAATTTTAACTTAAAAACTGATGATTTAAAAAAAAGGTGTTCATTTAAAAAAAAATTGATACAACTTAAAAAAGCTTATAGGGAAAAGCTTTTGGTTTTTTGTTTTTTACTTTATTATAAAAATATTTTTTTAACTATAAAAACTTTTGTAAACACCTATTTAACCTAATTTTATTTATAAAAAGAAGAGAAATTAAAAAAAAACACCAGAATATTAAAAAAAAAAAAGTTGTGAATTCTCATGCATATATAATATGGCATATAGAGTCTCATGGCTAAAATGATATTAAGGGGCCGTTGGCTACGTGATATCTTTTAGGATTTCGGATAAACTGAATTTTTATAAATTTTAATTTTTAGATATTATCGTAAACTGAACCTTTAGTCATCACTGTTCCCCGCACTCTGGATTAGTCCCATGGCCGGCTCAAAGAGTCGAAGCTCGTGGGGATACCGGAGGGAGCCAACTCGTCTCAAAGAGATAATTAGGGTTGGGTAACTCTAAAAAACTGAATGTAAAAATTATATTTCTGAAAATCGAAATTTTCGGATAAAATTTTATTTCTTCTCTATCAAATGTCCTCTAACGAAATAAGAAAGTGTGTTTGTCACGCGCTAGACTAGGGCGTGTGTAAAGGGCTTAAAGTTTTAACGAAAATAAGCTGATTTGGAGCTTATAATTAGGGGCGCTACCTTTTACTGTGGGAAAGTCTAAGGAAGGACCTGGTCATCTCCTCTTCACAAATGGGGACGGCTATGGATTCATCCGACAAAAAAAATAATATTATCCAAAAATGAATCAGACCATGCATTCACACACTAAAAAAATTCAATTTTTTTTTATCTCAAATAAAAAATAAAAACCGAAGATACTTTTTTTTGGCTGGTTGGTGCTTTTGTTTGCTATTGGCTGTTAATAATAGATTGTCACACACTTCCTTTGAACTTTCTCGACCTCAGCTTTCGGGTGTTATTAGCTTAGATTAGATTCATTAACCCGCTTTTTAGTTTTTATTAATAACCATTTTCTTTTACCCTCTTGCATAAAAAGGAAAAAAAAAGAGAGTGCATATTTCTGAATAAATTGTGAAGTTCCAGTTCTGTTGTGGGGTTGTTGTGAATGTTAATTGAAAATTAAAAGGAGTTGGTGGTAAAATAAGGCGTGTGTCGGAAAAATTTGTGTTACTTCTGATTTTGTCCATTTTTATCAATTGTTGCCTTAAGGTGGTACCCTGTGTGATTGTGATGATTGATGGTATTTCTATTTTAGAATGTGCAAGATTTGAAGGAGAAAAATCCACGAGTTGTTTTGGTTAATGGTAAAAGAAAAGATCTCTTTGCTTTCTGGGTAAAAATTTACCTTGTTCAATTCCCGTTTCACATTTTTTATAAGGAGAAAAAAAATAAAAATTATTATTCCGGAATAATAATCAAAATCAAAGACGTGTTGAGCTGTTTTATCTTTTTTTTCTTTCTTTTCATTCTCTCTCTTTCTCATTCGCTCCTTCTTATTACGCTTGAGACCCTCTTATTGTTGCAAGCTGTAATTGGATGGGAGCAATTTTGGACTCAACCTATTAACAGTGTTCTCTCTCTCTTTCTCTCTCTCTCTCTGAAGAAGAGTGTTCACGTATGAGCTTTCTCCTAATGTCACCATGGTTTTGAGACGCCTCGCTCTGCTTTCTCCTCCACGCGTCTCTCTCTCTTGTTCCCATTTCAAGTTTTCATTTCCTCTTCTGACAATGAGATCAAAGTTATAGCCTTTTTTTTTCCTTCTTCTTCTTTCTCATTGTTATTATCATTTTTTTTTGTGGGGTTAAAAAAAAAATAGAAAAGAAAATACAGAAAGAAAGGGAGATATTGTTGGAAAAACGCAAACAGGTGTTGCTATTTTTGTGTTTCCTGAGTTGGGTTTGTGAGATCAGACCCCAAAAATGGCACCTTTATTCAATTGGTGGGGGAAAGAGAGTCACAGAGGAACCCCTGTGGTTGTGAAGATGGAGAACCCAAACTGGTCCATGGTTGAGCTTGAGGGTCTCACTGAGGAAGAAGATTTCATCATTGCAGACTCATCTTCAGGTCTTCCCAGAGACAAAGGAAGAGGAAAAAACGCAAAGCAACTTACTTGGGTTCTTCTCCTCAAAGCTCACAGAGCCGCAGGTTGTTTGGCTTCCGTTGCCCCTGCATTGTTGGGGCTAGTCTCCGCCGTGAAACGCCGCGTAGCTTCTGGAAGAACGGACGCTGACAACGACGGTGCTGTCGGTGGATGGGAGAAGGAGAACCCCACCGTGAAGACTAGGTTCTATTCGTTTATCAAAGTGTTTTTGTGGTTGTCGGTGCTCTTGTTGTGTTTTGAGGTTGCTGCGTACTTTCAAGGTTGGCATTTTGGTGTTCCAAGTCTTCAGTTAGAGTCTTTGTGGGCATCATCGTTTGGAGTCAAAAGTGTTTTCGATTGGCTTTATTCGAAGTGGGTTTTGATTCGCGTGGAGTATCTTGCTCCCCCTCTTCAGTTCCTCGCCAATGCGTGTATTGTGTTGTTCATTATTCAGAGTTTAGATAGGTTGGTCCTATGTTTCGGTTGTTTTTGGATCCGGTTTAAGAAAATCAAACCTGTTCCTAAAGTTGGTGATGTGGATCTTGAGTCTCTGGAGAAAGGTTTTTTTCCTATGGTGCTAGTTCAGATCCCCATGTGCAATGAGAAAGAGGTAAGATACAATACAATTAATTTTTATCTATTTTGTTGTTCTCTGTTATGTTGATCTAACTTTGATGTGTTTTTTTTTTTCAGGTTTATCAGCAATCAATTGGTGCTGTTTGTAATTTGGATTGGCCAAAATCCAAGTTGCTAATTCAAGTTCTGGATGATTCGGATGACCCAACAACCTCGTCGTTGATCGATGAAGAGGTTCAGAAATGGCAACAAGAGGGTGCCAACATTGTCTATAGGCATAGGGTAATTAGAGAAGGGTATAAGGCTGGTAATTTGAAATCTGCCATGAATTGTAGCTATGTCAAAGACTACGAGTTCGTTGCAATTTTTGACGCTGATTTTCAGCCTACCCCAGATTTCCTTAAAAGAACGGTTCCTCATTTTAAGGTGATTCATTCAATGTCATTTTGTAAAAAATGTGTCTTTTGTCCTATAGTTTGAACAACCATGGTAGATATGCATGTGTGTATATTTATTGTAGTCAACTAATTCAATTGGTGACAATATCACTCAGGATAACGACGAATTAGGGCTTGTTCAAGCAAGATGGTCCTTTGTGAACAAGGATGAGAACCTACTAACAAGGTTACAGAACATTAATTTGGCATTCCATTTTGAGGTGGAACAGCAAGTGAATGGTATTTTCATTAATTTCTTTGGGTTCAATGGAACTGCTGGAGTGTGGAGAATAAAAGCCTTGGAAGATGCTGGTGGTTGGTTAGAGAGGACCACTGTGGAGGACATGGATATAGCTGTTAGAGCTCATCTTCATGGCTGGAAATTTATTTTCCTCAATGATGTTGAGGTTTGTTTTGCCTCACACTAATTTATACCAAGCTGTTTAGTTTTTTCTTTTTCAATTCATTGTTAGACTAATTGCAAATTGTTTCTGTTTCCAGTGCCAGTGTGAGCTACCAGAATCTTACGAAGCTTATAGGAAACAACAGCATAGATGGCACTCTGGTCCAATGCAATTGTTCCGCCTTTGTTTGCCTGACATCATACGCTCCAAGGTATTTATTTATGTTACTATGTATTATAATGTCAAGACCTTGTTTTTTATGGCAATAGTAATTAATTACCATGACATCTAGTTCTGGTGCTTATAAAGTGTTGGTACCAATTATGTTTTTTTTTTTCCTTTCTTTGCAGATAAGCATATGGAAAAAATTCAATATGATATTTCTCTTCTTTCTTCTTAGAAAATTGATATTACCGTTCTATTCATTTACCCTATTCTGTATAATTCTGCCTATGACAATGTTCGTACCCGAGGCTGAGCTTCCTGTTTGGGTTGTTTGTTTTATCCCTGCCACCATGTCATTTCTTAACATACTACCTGCTCCAAAATCCTTCCCTTTTATCGTTCCTTACCTTCTTTTTGAGAATACCATGTCAGTTACCAAATTCAATGCCATGATCTCTGGTCTATTCCAGCTTGGTAGTGCTTATGAGTGGGTTGTTACTAAGAAATCGGGTCGTTCCTCTGAGGGGGATCTTGTTTCCTTGATTGAGAAAGGACCAAAGCATCAAAGAGGGGTGTCAGTGCCTAATCTTGAGGAAATGAAAGAAGAAATACAACAACAGGAGAAAAAGGCATCAAAGAAGAAGAAGCATAATAGAATATATATGAAGGAGCTTGCTTTGGCCTTTCTACTTCTAACAGCTTCAGCAAGGAGTTTACTATCTGCTCAGGGAATCCACTTCTACTTCTTGTTATTCCAAGGCATATCATTCCTTTTAGTTGGTCTAGACTTGATTGGTGAACAGGTTGATTGAATCTGAAAGAAAAAAAACAGAAAAAGAAAAGGGATAGGAATCTATAGAGATATATGCACGAATTATGTACACAGAAAACAAGGGTGGACAAGTTGGGTCCTGTGAATAACTGAAGATAGTCATGGAGACACTGCAGAGGGAAGACACTTTTTTTTTTTTTTTTTCTCATGCTCAGCCTTCCACGCTCCTTATCCAACTATGGCTAATACGAGACCCCATTGTGGAATTATGGATAGAAAGAAAAGAAGATTTCAATTTGGAAAATGGGTCATTAGAAGCCGATTATGGCTCTTCAATGTGTAAAAGTTTACCATTTTTTTTCTTTTTGTTCTTTTTCATTTTGTAATTGTATGTCGATTCTTTTCTTGTTGGATTAATTCTTTTGTATGAAAATTTGTGGTTATTCTCAATGGGGAACTTTTAGTAGCTGTGGAAGTCAGCAAGTGCTCACCTCTTTTGAACATTGAGTAGGAAATGACTAAAAATACATAGTGAAAGTTGATGAAGTTTTTTATTTTTTTTAGTTTGATAAGAGTGGGCAATTTACTTATAAAAATGAAGATTGAAATTTACTTATACATAGCCTCTATAGGTTAGAGGTAACATCAACATTGGTAAATATGAAATGGAAGGGTTCCTTTCAGAACACATGGATGTACGTTTTGGTTTCTATCTCTCCATGTTTGCACTTTAATGGGGCGGTTGTAGCTACTTCAACAAATTGGGTTCCAACCTTTTGTGGTAGCTGACCATTATTCTCGTGTGAGCCCTTGAAATGAAACCAACCAACTTTTTTCGGCTACCAATCTACCATGAAATGAATGACCCATATAAGTATTTGTTCTGCTTTCATTTTTCATGTTGTATTTCAATATCGAACGATTGCTAGTACAACAAAAAAAAAAAAGGAAAAATGTTTCTGGTGTAAGTAAATTACCGTTCACCAAGACAATGGGACAAACATATACTTAGTATGGGGCTAAATTCCAGTAGCCACGGGTCTCTACAAATTTAATGAAACCGAAACTGTTCTTTGCCTTGCTTCAATCTATTCCATGTATGTGGGAACAGTTACAAAGCTATTTATTAGGCTTTTATCGTAAGAATGAAATTAGGCGTTTTTGATCCCTCACGCAACTTGACAGATTCCTTCAACGGTGCACGGTACAGAGAATAGTGAATCGAAGGACATGTGGCAGTGGCATATTTGGTTTGTGGGGCTACATTCAATTCGATTTATGAACTTTATATGTATTGGTAATTTGGTATAGTAAGTAAGCACGAGTAAGGGTTTATTATTGAACTTCAAAAAAAAAAAAACAAAAAAAAAACCAAACAAACAAAGGCTTATTATGCTCTCCCTTTTTCTGCTGTTTTTTTTTTTTAAAAAAAAAAAAAAACAGACATACATTTTACGACTCTACCATTGACTATTGATTCTATTCTGCCTTGGCATTTGTCACTTCATCAGTAATACGAGCATATTTTTTTTTTTTGATAACATAATACGAGCATATTTTGGTATTATAAGAATATGTACTTCTTCATTAAAAATAGAGAAACTACAGACTTAGGCGAGAATAATTATAAAAGGTTTAAATATTTCTAAAGTGAATGTAGATAAGTTATCTATATTCACTTCCAAAACGACGTCGTTTTGGGTTGAAAAATTAAAAACTTATAATGAAAAAGACAATTATAACCCTGAAATAAATTATAATTACAAAAATATCTTGATTTCTGCCTCAAAACGACGTCGTTTTGGGCTCAATGTAAATAAGTTATCTACATTGACTGTAGAAAAAGCGAACCCATTATAAAATGGTGGATAAAATAAAAAAGTTAGTTATATTTTTTTTTTTCAAATTTAATAAAAGATACTTTGAATCTTCAATAATACGAAAAGATATTTTTTATGGAAAGCCTACTTGTTAAAATGATTTTTATTTTTAAAATTTCTCATGGTATCTCCTTATTTGATAAATAAGAGACACATTTTTTAAAATAGGGAAGACAACATACTTAAAAAATCTGAACTCCTTCCACTTAGACAAACAAAATTTGGTTGTTAAAATAAGTAGAAAGCTTTAATAACTTTAGAAGTTTGCTTATTATAGCTCCCATTCTGCAAATTGACTCAAAAGATGTCCGTTTGGATGAGTTTTTTTTTTCATAAAAAAACACTTCTCATAAAAAGTCTATTTGAATGCTTGCTTTTAAAAAAAGTATAAGTCATAAAAAAAGTCAAAAATCTATTTTTTTTAGAAGCTAAAATTTATAACTTTGGATAACAAAAAAATAAATAAATTAAATTTTAAAAATAACAGAAGTCAAAAGCCAAATTTTTCTTTTTTCAAAAACCAAATATTTTTTAAAAATCAAAATAACTTTAACTTTTGTAAAAAATATTTCTAAAACAAGCAAAGTATAAAAAATATTTTTTTGGAAGCTCATCCAAATGGGTATCTGTCTTTCAAAATAGCCTTGCTTATGGTATTATGGGCTTATAAAAAAAGATTTTTTAGGCCTATTTGGATGAATTTTTTTAATCAAAAACTATTTTCAGGCCCATTGCTTTAAAAAAAGTCAAAAATTTACTTTTTTTAGAAATTAAAAATTTTAGCTTCTAAAAAAAGCAGAAGTCAAAAGATAAATATTTTTTTTCAAAAATCAAATATTTAAAAAAAAAATCTAAATAGCTTTAACTTTTGTAAAACACAGTTCTAAAATAAGCAATACATAAAATAATCTTTTTTTACAAGCCCATCCAAACAGGTCAATGTAAGCAGATATCTAAACAAACTTTGTAGTAGAATTGTTTCTTTTTTTTTTTTTGTTGAAAAAAAATCAGCTTTTGGCTAAAAAATAAAAATAAAAAGGTCATCCTATACCACTCATGCAGTCGATTTCATTTTCTCCCAAAGAATGAAGGGGATGGGCTGGGTGGGTGTTCCCCTCATTAAACGATTGAATAGGTCAGTTGCAGGATTGAACACGCTCAAAATAAGTGAGATGTGGATGGAGTTTTTGCCCTTTTTTGAGACGCAAATTATTTCACTTACTACCTCTGATTTATGAAGTTGTGCCATTTGTGATAGATGCAATGGGATTTATTTTTTTTGGGGGGTAAACCATGCAATGCAATGAGATTTTTACTTCTCCATTTGTCGTGTTGTATTTGGAAAGAAGGTAAAATTGGAAATGATTTGATTTGAATTTGTCTGATTTAATTTATAAATGAAGTATTATGTTTGAAACTAATTATAAAAAATAGGATTTAAATTTATTTTGATTTTGATTTTTATGTTTGAACTCTTTAAAAAATAAATTGATTTTATCTTATTATTTTATACTTTTACCCTTTTGAGGTAAAATGAAAAGGTTAGAAAGGGAATGATAATCTATTTATTTGAAATCTAATCATATCGTAATAAATCTTATCATAGCTAATAGTACTTGTAAATCCAAAGTAATGAAGTTTATGTCAATTTAGAAATCGAATCCATTTTTATTTTTAAGCATTTCAAATACAAGAATTTATTTACAAATCAAATTATTTCCCTTTTTTTTATTCCAAACATACTTGATATGAAAATAAAACATTTTGAAGATGGGGTGCTTGATAGAGGAGAAATTTTTTTGTTCCTGGCAATCATGATTCCTGTAACACCTCGTATATATCCGGTTTGTTATCATATCATCGTATTAAGCCACGTTTAATTTAAAAATGCGGAATATCTTTTTCTTTTCAATTATGACGTCATTATCGTTAGCTAAGTTGAATTACTTAATTCATTTTATAAAAACATCGCTTGTATGTAAATTGCAAAAGACAACTAACTGAAATACCTCAATATATAATTAACTGTGAGTCTTTAAAATCACAGAACTACAACACGTAGCCCGGACATAATCCTAATACATTATTACATCTCAGATCTAAACTAAAAGATAGTCAATCAATGTGGCATGGACAATCCACATGCTCACCAAATAAGACAACAAAGCCAAATATAGTCTCAACAACAACAACATAATAACAAGCTAAAGGCATATCATCAGCAGATATAATCCAGCATCCAAACATATCATCATATAAATAGCAATATCAGCTAAGCTCAGGCCTCCTGCCGCTAGAGGTCTCAACCCCCGCATTACCTGAAACTGAAATATGTGCCCCAAACGTGGGATGAGATCTCTAAACAGAAATCTCAGTAAGACAAGGGGTCCTCAAGGATCTTCCACCCCAAGCTCACTTACATGTGCAATAAAAGTTCTAAAAGCAATAATTCAATATCAGTTCCAGAATCAGCAGATAATCATGTCATGTGTGTTATAACTATTCTACTGATCAGAGAAGTGTAGGAATACGTCTATTACCCACACAGTACCAGCCCATGCTGTACCTGCCCCCAGGACCACCCCATGGCTTCTGGCTAGGCGAAACACCACATACATATCATAAGTATTTTGCACTTAACAGCTCCATAGCATTTCAATAAAACAGTACATGAAAACACATCATGCATATAACCATCCCTCAATGGGACATGATGGAACATACAATGGCTAAACCGAGGACACGAAAGCTTACCTTGCAAGCTAACAATCCAAACCAATTGTCCAACCAAGCTCAAAGTCCACACACAGCACAATCACAATCTGTTTGGACCAATAATAATATCAATATTCATACTCTACAAGCATACGATATAAAGACAACACATTTCCTTTGCGTTCTAAGTCTTAAGGCTTCTCACAAAGTCACAAGCCCTTAATCCCTTGATTCTGACTTAACTTAATCATTACAGAAATTCAACTTCCACAATCTAGGGTCCACAAACCCATAACTCAGTTCTTTATGAATAGTACCGTTACTGTTCACGTAAACCTAGAATATCTGAATATTTGTCGGGGCCATATCCGAATATCCATATTCGGATATCTCAAAGACCATATCCGGATATCCATATCCAGATATTTCGCGACAGAATGCAGATTCTGCATTTCGCGAGATATCACTTCAAAGGTTGGGTTTTTAACCCATTCCAACGTTAAAGCATGCATTTTTATTCTGTTTTAGGTTCATATACCAGTTGGTTACTTAAACTCATTAAACATGCCAAGACTTCACTTTTAACCATTAAAACTCATGATCAAAGGTGGATGAACTTACCCAAGCTCAAAACAGAGGTACAAAGGCTATTGGAGCTCACCAAACAGCTCCTCAAGTTCTGACTTCTCAAAGGTACGAAAATGGCACACCAAAGGTTGGTTCTTTCTTACCAAAAATCACTTCTTTGACCTCAAAATGCCATGACAATGGCTTTACCCTCACAACTCAGAAACTCAGCACCTTAAACTCTCCAAACAGAGACCC